CAAAATTCTACTTATCCTTCAAAAAAACCTAGCTCAAGTGCCTCCTCTGAAGTCTCTCCCCTGAGAATCAACATCCTGCCTCCATCACAGGTGGGAATTTTTGACCACACTTACTCCTCTGTACCTCAGTAGCACGCAGTGCTCTGACTTCTCCCTCGTAAGCTCGATTAGCAGAATAGACAGGTATGCTAACGCGATGACTTCTCAGCTAGATTGAGAGCTCTTTGGGGGCAAGGACTGTTTGTTTTTTTGTATCCTCAGTGCCCAACATATGGGAGATGACTTAAAGTCCAACTCATCAGGAGCTGATGGCCTGGGGTTTTGTTAATTGCCCTAGTCCAGGCAGGACTGACATCAGGTGTCATGGCCACAGATGACAGGCAATGATCCAGGCTGGTAGGTGTTTGGTGCCTTGGGGATCTGACAGCCTTACCCTTGGGGGTAGTCCTGGAGGCCTACTTGTAGAGACGGGGGTTCAGAGAGTAAGACTCCAGTTTAAGAACTAGCAAAATGAAAAGTGAGATTCCAGTTTGCTCTTGAGGACTGAAAAGCAAAATGATGGTTTCATATATGGAAACCCATATTTTAGAGGAAATGACTTGTTCCTCAGGAATAATGCCCAGGGTCCGGACACTAGCGCCTAAGTTCCTGGGTCAGAACGGGAGCCCCAACGACACTGACATGGTCCAACTGCACGGATGAGTTCTTAGAGTTCTTTCAGGAAGCTAGCTAGCCACTTGGTCTCTGAGCTGCAGGGGGGCTCTGGCATGCTTCCTGGCAGGGAGCAGGTTAGGATAGGTGGGCATGTGTGGTGGAGAGCCCTCAACTTCACAGGGCAGTTTCTTAATGTAGAGTAGTTATGCCATTTTTTTTAAAAAAAGATTTTTATTGAACTGAAATGTACTTTCTTTATAACTAGGACCCACTGGTTTTAGTCCATCCTTCAGAATGTTGTTAAAGTCCAAAATCTCTCCTCCACATACATATTTAAAAGAAGAACTATCCCCTTTAATGATTGAAAACCTTCTTTGCCACCCTCAGCCCCCAACTATGCCTGCCCACCATTTTCCGTGAGATATCTTTTTACAATCTCCCACCATTTTGCTTGTCCTTTTCTGGACTCTGGATGTCCCTCTTAAATGTGATACTACAGTGATACTAAGCTGAGCCCAGAGTGTACACGTGAATCATTACCTAGGTGTTGTAGCTCAATTCATAGAGCCAGAAGAGGGGGTAGACAAGAAAAATCCAAAGCCCTGTGACCTTTGCCATTTTTTCTCAGAATTTGTGCTGTTGTCACGTGAGATTCCCCATTTTATAATCAGTGAAATTCACTTCATTTCAGTGCAAGATTTACCAGCTAACTGGCGTAAATTGAACCTTTTTAGATGAAAGTCCTACCTGTTGAGCGAGTTCTGAGACTTAATTCAGCCAGGCAATATTTGCTCTCTTTATTTTGTGGTAACGTAGTAAAGAATGCTGCTTGAACATCTCTGTCCCGCCATTTAAACACGTGTCCAGTAGGACGCAGCCAAGGGGGCTGAGACTGCAGCTCATCACGTGGTGGTGGGCTTACCCGTCACCCTGTACCAGCTCTCTGTCTGCTCCATGGGCTATGGGGAAGACAACTTGCCAGACACCTTACTGGTCAAAGCTTATAATATGTCTATTGCTTCTTCTAGTTCTTAATCTTAGTCACTGTATTGAAATAGGAAATGTGATTACTGTAACATGATTTGCTATCAGCAACCCTACGATAGGGACAGGGTCATTTTTATCTTAGAAGTTATCCCAGAGGAGAGAAGGCTATCATCAAAATATATTTACCTGATGCTAATATCCATTGGACAAGACAATATTTTATCTTTTATATGTTTACCAAGCAATATTTATTCTGACACCTCCTCCCCCCCCCTTTTATTTAAGAGGTTTTTTGCTCGTCAGAAAGTCAGAGACGGACAGAGAGACAGGAAGCGAGAAATCACCTCCTGGGGGGGATGGCTACGCCGCAATTCCTTCTCCTCCATTCTCCTCCCAGGATCTTGGACATGCACATGCATGTGCCCATCATGAGTTTAAGCCACCGGGTCTGAGACTTGAACCGCGGTCAGCTACATGGGAGTCCAGTGACATAGCCATTATACTAACTGCTGGTCCCTGACACCTCCCCCTCTTTTTGAGAGATTTTTGCTATAGGGCATGTGTGCTCCCTGGAGACACAGAGACAGAGAGACAGAAAGTGAGAAATCACCCCCTAATTTCTACA